TGGAACATGAGTCTTCAAATGATTTACATGTGTCAAGAGTAACATGTGGCCACCGTCCCCAAGCCATGAGCTGGTTACTCATGACTGTGCAGCTCAGATGTGTGCTTCCACACTGCTCTTCCAGAGTGAGTGCAGGTGTGAAACTCTCCTGCCTAACTCTGAGCTGCTGTACTTGCAAAAAAACCAAAAAGGGTTGTGCATGAGGCCCAAAGCAAGGTTGGTGAGGTTCCTCGCTCATTTGAGGCCCAAGTATTTGTACGCACTTCTGTTAGTTTATTTATTTATTTATTTATTTATTTTAAAGCCCTTTCCCCTTCTGATGTGTGGAACATCCCCATAAGCGAATGGCAGTGCTGATGAAACCCAGGAGGTTCTTTGCCAGCCCTGAGTGTGTGCTGGCTGCTACTATCTGGCCACATTTGAAAACATATCAAGACTCAGCTTTAAGAAAACTTGCATGCTTCTCTCTTTCATAGTAGGTAGAAGTAACTGAATCAGTGCTAGGTAAAAATAACTAACCAAGAGCATGTTCACAGCATTCCTCTTTACTGATTGACTGAAATTATTTTCTCCCTTCCAATTCTGTTGTGATCTAGTTGCCGAGCGGCAGACTCCAGCTATAATTGTCGCACTACTCCATTTTCCAGCCGCATTCATCTCCAAGAACTGCACAGCTTATGTCTAGACAACCCTCTGAGGAATCTCCTTCTGTGGCCTTACATAGCTTTTGCAGTGACACCAAGACTGATGTCAGCCATTTTCGAGACAGATAGCCCTGCCTCTGCCTCTCGTGGCGCAGTTAGCCCAGACAAGCGCTTCCAGTGGAGGCAGCACATTGACTCTTTATTCCAAAGCATACACAATCTGCATACACGTGTGCTTACACACACATGCACAGATATGCTTTTGAGGGAGACTGGACCCTTTGCTTTTTATACAGTTGTGTTTTAAGTCTGGTTTTGTTAGCGTCCATGCAGTTTTCCTTTTTGACTTCTGTGGAAAACTTAGGGTGAAATGTAACAAGGACTGGTACAATTTCCCTGCTGTGCCTATGGTAGGGAAATTCCCCCAGCCTGAGGGAATGGTATGAAGCTGTGTCTGGGGAGGTGTAGATTAAACATTAGGAAAAACCTGCCTTATACTGTTCCTTGACTTGAGGCTTACTTCATGCAATGGCTGTCTCAACCTCCAAAACAGGGTGGCTCTGTGCAGGCTTATCAGGAGTGACCCCTGTTCCCTGCTAACTCTTGATCTACACACAAGAGTGATTTGGAGGTGTGCTACTGTAACAGACCAAAGCTATTCCAGATGCTGTGGTAATAACATGCTATAGGTAATAAAGTTCCAGTTTCCCACCACTATTATGCCATAGCTAAGGTAGGCACCCTGTGCTTAGGGGGAATGGAGCCAGTGAACTGAGCTAGTGCATTTCCAGTCCCACCTTCTCCTGCAGGCCCTACAGAAGTGAAAGGTCCGTGCTCACGTACCATATGTCTTCTGCCTCTTCCCTAAATCAAGCTTCAGACCTTAGGCTAAACTCGGTGATGGAATAAAGATCTATGGCATGGAAGACTGACCATGTTTAGTGTTGACCAGTCACTTAGCTGACAGACAGATAAAGCCTTCCTTATAGTCCCAGAGGAGAGGGAATCATGTTAGGAATGTACCCTGAATGATGCCTGACTCGTACTCAGGATAGCACATAATGCTGTCACTGAGGGAGATAGAGGTGATCAGACCAGAACTACCATCATGGTATGGCTTTACACATGTGGTGGGGATATGGATCAAAACTGTAACGCTTCCCTCCCCACTGCCACTCTAAATTGTTGAGCATCAAGAAGCACACTGGATCATCAGCACAGAAAATACATCAAGCATGGTTTTGAAACATTTCAATGTTGGAAGTTTCCAGTTGGGTAGGCACGTTGCCTGTTACCAAAGGCACAGAGCTGAAGCAACTGCTTCAGTCCTAAAAGACTGTTAAAATTAAATTGTGAATTTACATCCCTGTCATTGCAGCCCTGGAGCAGAGTGGCTGCCTAGGTATTTCGTAATGGAGAATCTAAGTGTAGCAACACAGGACTTAGTCTGCTGAATAGTATGCAGTATTATGTAATTTAATAACATTAAACTAGGATGTTCAGATAATATTATTTGAAATCTGTTTATTTAATACCATTTATATTTTATGTGTCAGTTGAATTTGGGGAGAAAAAGATTTTAGAAGAAACTGGGGGGGAGCACAGTAGGAAATTGTGCGAAGTACTTATCTGAGACTACATCACATGGTCTGCAAAGCATGGCTTTTGCTTTCATACACATAGTCTTGGCTACTCTCCCACTAGCAACAATAGCACTCAGACTCATACTGATGTCACTGTTGAGTTATTTAATTTGACTGTACGAGATTAATGTGTTTATTTAAAACCTTAGTCAAAATGGAAAAGAAAATCTTGGGACAATACTTTTACGTGAACATGTATGTTTTCATATCTGATGATTGTAATGTTGCATTAACTTATCAGAAGCAGTTGTTTACACATGCCAATGCCCAAGAGACCCCCTCAGATAAGAAGTGTGAGCCATTTTCCCTCTCAGCCTGGAGCAGAGACTTCACTGCTGCTGGTCCAGTGGGCTTTCATCCCAGGCTTTCCTTGCTTCCTGTTGCTGCTTTCAGGGCTTATCCACAGCGATCCCAGCATTGATTCATTTTCTATGTGAGGATGGGGTTTGGTGCTGCCAAGCAGTGACGGCAGTGTGGTGGTGGATCCTCCAGAGATTCTCACTGGGGCAGTGAGGGACAGACACCCCCACTGCACAGGATGTCGAGATGGTGCTGTAGCCTCTGTAGGCTGAGCCTGCTCCTGCAAAGGCTGGAGCCTGCCTGCCTAAATTTTATCCACATTATGTTTTACAAGCATCCTGAGGGTTTTTTTCCTGTGAAAAATCATTCTGAATTTACTTCATTCTCACATGTACCCTCTAAGTGTTTGAAATAGACTTTGGTTTTTACTAAGAAGCATTATTAAGTGTCCAGTTAAATACTCCAGGTCATTGGATTTTTACTAATACAGAGCAGGGGAAAAAATCTGGAATATGAAGTTTCTCTTGGTGTGAAGGGACAAGTTTGGGCAGTTCTGTGGAATCAATTGGTCATTGACTGATGAATGGCATGAGCGAGGGGCTTTCTGCTGTGCTCTGTCAGGAACCTCTCTTGATAGTTGAGGACAAATGGACATACACATAGACTGATAATGTAGAAATTGCGTAAGCCACAGCTCAATACTGTGGTAGGTGCCTGAAGCAAGGTGGGCCTGCTCTGCCTTTCAGTTTTGTAGTCCTTCTGTGCATACTTTCATGCAGCCTTCTGTTCACTGGTTCTTGGAATATTAATCTCTTGGGGAATAGCAACTACTGGTGGGGTTTGTGGTATGCCAGGGTGTTGCTTTTATGCTGCTTCCGTCTTCCTAGTGCAGTAGAAGGCATTTGGGCAGTTGAACCCCCGCCGTCACCATTGCCACTGGAAGAAGGGAAGAAGCTTGTTATGCGTCCGTGTACCTGCTTTTCTTAGAGTGCTTGGCATCTTAAAGGGTAATGCAGTGGGGCAGAGGGGTGGGCATGGGAACAGAAGAGCTGGTAGAAAAAACAGCTCCAGCCAATCCTTGGTCCTCGGATTGTCTAAGAGGCTCTGATGCCCTGGGCTGTGTGTGCTTACTCTGCAGCATGCTCCAGAGCTGTATGGTGCCGAAGGTATCAGACTATGCCAAATCTTCAGGATTGGCCTCCTGTATCAATGTGTTGTACCTGTGCCTGCACGTGGTGTCCCCAGGTGCCCTTTGAACTCTTACAAGAACTGTACGTTTAAGGAAATTGCAGAATAATATGGTTTGTGAAGCTCTGCTGCTCCCCGAACTGGGCGACATGTGTCTCCTCAGTGGCTGCATATAAGCAGTGCTGAGGACTATGAGCAGGCCTTTACTGGATGGGGGAAAGGTCCACAAGAGTGGACCAGGGCAGTCATGGAGCTGCTTTTCTAGAAGCATCCATTTAGAAGCTGTTCCCATCTCCTGTTTTAAGTGCCCTCTCTCTATGTAGTTCAGACCTTTGGATACCTATGCACAGGGGGTCCATGAAGTTTATTTAAAGCAGTAAATAGCTTGACATACGAGGACATCTTTCCTCAGGGTTCCAGTCAGTGGAAATATGTCATTTACAGCTAAAATTAGACTGTCTCCAGCTACATGAAGGAAAAAAAGTAAAAACCCTCAAGAACTAAACTCCTTCTGTTGGACTTTGTCAGATGTAGCAACTCCTAGCAAAACTAACTGAGGATCCACAGACTACATCCAAAAGTATGTGATTTGGATCCAGAAAGCTGTGAATTGTTGAAGAGAGAGAAACAGACTGTCTAGACAAAAAAGGTTTTTCTCTTCCATGTGAGAAAATATAAATAAACTTAGAGAATACTAATAAATCTTTCAAAGGCCCTAAATGAAACCTGAGAGTAGTCATTTTAAATTAGTTTTGCAGTTAATATTGTACAGCTCTTGACAGTACACTGTGAGACTGGAGTGGCAGAGAGGGAGTTGAAATCAGTACAATATTCTACTCATGGCTTCCATAAAATTTGATATTACAGATTTAGTTTCATAGAAGATGCTTTGAGCTGAACCCACAGATACTAGCATATAAAAAAGAGCTACATTTTGTTTTCTAGTAAATATAACCCTAGTCGTGCAACAATTTGCCTGGTGCATTGAACTCTAAACAGAGTTGAAGTGGCTGGATGCTTAACAATTTCCATCATCCAACTCTAAAAGGAGTGGGGAGGGTAATGGGGAGGAGAAGCTTGCACCCAAAATAAACATCAAAAACCAAACAGAAAACCATTGCAAATTAACTACACATTTTGAATAATTTCTCTTTCAAAATATTTTATTGAAGGAACAATGAAAATAGTGTGTGAAGCCTAACTATGTATTGTGTTGCTGTTCCAGGCTTCATCAGCAGTTTCTTGATGTTTGGAAAGTTCTGAGACCCACCCTGTCGGACCACTTGTAACCAGTGCCTAAGACTACAGGAACGTATGTGTGGAAGAACCTTTCCTTGAAGGAAGTGTCCCTTGCTATACTGTGGAAACTCCGTGCAAGCCTTGCCAGGCAGGAGAGTAATTTGTGCTTCCATTGGCGCTTGTTTGTAATCTCTGCTTCTTATGCACTCCAGCACCCCTATCAGTTCCTTGTTCTCCTTCACCAGCCCTGCAGTGAAGAGGCTGCTGGGCTGGAAACAAGGAGATGAAGAAGAAAAGTGGGCAGAAAAAGCTGTTGATTCCTTAGTGAAGAAGTTAAAGAAGAAAAAGGGTGCCATGGAAGAACTGGAAAGGGCTCTGAGCTGCCCGGGTCAGCCCAGTAAATGTGTCACTATCCCACGTTCCTTGGATGGGCGGCTGCAGGTGTCTCACCGCAAGGGGCTTCCCCACGTCATATATTGCAGAGTGTGGCGCTGGCCTGATTTACAATCTCACCATGAGTTGAAACCACTGGAATGTTGTGAATTCCCATTTGGCTCAAAACAAAAAGAAGTGTGCATTAACCCCTACCATTACCGGCGGGTGGAAACCCCAGGTAATTATGTCATCTGCCAATGGTTCACATCTCTCTATTAGCTCTTGCTCTAGCAGGTCTGGTCTTGGTGCATCCTACGAGTTGTGCTCCGAAATGTGAAAAGGCAGGCTCCATCTAATGGAAGGATGTTGGGTCTTACCCTGCCCTGTGGCATCATAGCTCTGGCAGCCAGGAGTAAGGAGGGAGTAAGGAGCCCGTTGCCCCGTGGGGTCTGCATCCCATCAGACCACCAAGGGTGTCCGGATCTTGTCCAGGGTGCTGAAAGCAGCTTCCTCTCCATGGATATGGGTGCAGAATCCTTCCCTCGTGAACTGGTGTCCATTTGCATTAAGTCTAGGCACCAGCCCTGACTTACCACCCTGGCAAGATTTACGTCTCATTGTCTCAAAATCAACAATTGACTCATTAACCCACAGGAAACACTAGCTCTCCCTTTAAAGATAAGAGTTGCAGTAAGATCGCATATTTTGCAGTGGATATGAAACCAGATCAGTTGATTCTTCCTAAAATGCCTGGTGGCCTGCCTTAAATGGAATTTACTTACCTAAAGGGAGATTTTATGTGAAATAAATCCCCCAAGTTCTCATAAAACTTTGAAATTTTCCCTGATGATCCTCTTTAGACTGGACTTGGCCAGCACTAAAACACTGAAGGGTCATTTAATTGGGCTTTATGTCAATGAAACAGCTGTTAAAAAATCTTAGTGTTCAGTGTTGACTTCTATAGAGACGTTAGAAAGCAGGGCTGACAGAGATCTCAAGCAGTCATCCTGTTTTCCTCTGCCCAGACCACCAAACCAAAACAAATGACAGGGTACATTCCTGACCAATCTTCTTCTAATGAGCTCTAAAAATCCCATGTGATATAGGCTCTGCAATCTCCCCAGGCAAGTGAATCTATTGCTTTGCTCTTCTTACAGTTCAAAATGATTTCTAATGTCTAACCTAGCTCTCCCTTGCTGCCAAAAATCACACTAATTTAATTTACTAATGGATATGGTTGGTAAGTGTATTATTCTGTGATTACTCTTTGTCTGGCATGAACTTTACTCTGAGGTGACATTAGGATCAGATAAGTGAACTGTGGGATGCTTCTTTTCACATAGATGAAATAAGGGAAAGACATTTGTTAACATTTGTTAAACAACAGGGGCCGCTTCCTCTTCTGATAGTCCTTCCACTGCAGCAGAACTGTTGCTGTGAAGTTGTATCTGAACTGCTGTAAACATTGTCACAACTTTTAAATTTTACAGCTACACTGAGTGCTGCTTGCTGTCAACAGTTCTCAGTGGAAAAAGCTGATTGCCTGCCTTGCTAAATAAACTCTTCAGTAATCTACAAGAAGATGCTCATAAAGTATCCCATTTTGTGTATCTTTCTGTTTGAAGGCTGCAGTCTTAAGTGTCTTTTCATTTCTTCTGGTGTAACTCCTGTGTAGTTAACAGAGTCTCTTCTGCAGTAGCTGACAGCACTGCACAGTGCTGTTTTCAACCCTAGTCTTGTCATCTGTTCAGTGTCAGCTAACAAACACTAGTACTGGAATAGTACAGCAGCGCATGCCAAATGGCAGCCAAATATTTTATAATCTACATGCCAGTATTATTTTCATTTTGATGTCCATCCTTCTGCGGACCACTTTGCATCACTGCAGTCTTTCTTACTGAGTCAGCCACTCTATGACCAGACCTGTTGACTTTTATCCAGAATGAATGAGTTGTGTCAAAGATGGGAGGGCCTCACCCTTTCTTCAGTGGCCTGGCAGATCCCTAGACCTCTGTTACTAGAGAGCAGCTTTAGGCTCTGGTTGAAGATTCAGCGGTTTCATTGCTTCTGCTATGTCCTCAGGCTGCCCAGCCACATTTTAGGTTATGCTAACCAATACTGCACAGACTATGCATAGCTTTTGTTGCTGCTACCAGTGTCCCCAGCAGATTGCTTATCAGGTCTGCCGAGTATCAGGTGCCAGTTAGAAAAAAGCGGCAAATATTTCCTCTATTTGTGCAACATCCCACTGCATAGAGGGGTTAGGCCACCTAGTCTGAAGGAGATAGGTATGGTGGTTATGCTCTACTTCCCCCTTCATTGTTTTCTTCAAACAGCTCGTCAGAAATCTGAATTGTTTGTTGTCAGAAGAAGCCTCAGTTTCAGAAAAATCTCGAAGCTGCCTAAACATGTACCCTGTTATTTTTATGAGATCATTCATGTGTAGATATTGCAAATTTGAGGGTGCACCATTGCTCTAGACAGCAGGAGACTAAATGAATTTTTCATTTAGATTAACTGACTGCTTTCATCAAGCCCAAGTAGGACTAAGATGTGATAGCCTCCCAGGTGGAAGACTGCCCAATTATCTCACTGTTGATCATGTGTTTGGTGTTTGGAAATAGTTGTGGGCACAGGGAGTAGGTGGATCTCACCAGAGGGTAGATCTCCAAAGGTAGTAAACTCTGCGGAGATGGACTGATGTGTGAGAAATCGCAGTGTGGATGTTGTACCTGGAACTAAACTGAGACAGGTAGTTTGCTTGTGAGCCTCTGAAGTCAGAGGCTCTGGGCACAGCCAGGTTTCCAGCAAGAACTGCTGAAGCTAAAGGGAAGAGGAGAAAGCCCTGTGCATGAAAGGCAGTAGCAGGACTTGGGACATGACCGTATATGTCTTCAGTTAAACAAAGATCATCAACACTTGAGCACGCATAGAAGGAAGGATCCACCACTGGCTCTTGGTAGACAATAGCAGGTAGAAGAAAAGGACCCCCATTGAGTGAAGAAAGTGCAGGTAATTTATGAGGGCAGACAAGTCCAAATACACTCAGTTACTTAGTTTTGAGCCTCTGATCACACTTCCTTCAGAGTGGTTGAGCCCTGGAGAGTGGCATGTTACCAAAAGAACAAGGAGAACAAGGCCCTCAGGGGTACTCTTAGCCACAAACAAGAAAATTTCTGATTTCCTCACCACCACAGAGGCTTTAGCCCTCTAGGCAGTCACAGAACAGTCAGTGGAAAGATTAAGTGAGGTGGCAAAAACTGTACAGTAGAGCAGAAATTAAGAGTACCCAGGTCAGAGCTGGGAAGAAGTTCAAGGCTTGAAAATTCTTCTAGCATGCTGACTCACTCAAGGCAAATCAAAGGCTTCCCCTGGCAAGCGTTATTCACACATCCGAATTCTCAGCTTTCATTTAGAGGAGTTATGTTGAGTTCTCAAAGGGCTGAAGAAGGCATGTGGTACCCACAGTGAGGTGCCAGCCTCTCAATGCTGCATGACATTGCTGTAGCATAGCTGTCCCTTGCTCAGCACCTCTGCTGGGTGCAAAGGGATCACCAGCTCCCCATTTTCTGAGGCTGCTGGTCAGAGCTGGCTGAGCAGCAGCAGACCTGGCAAGCATCATACCAGTTTCATGGAGCAGCAGAGGAAAACTCCAGAAGCAGCAAGAGCTCACAGCCTGGGGCTGCTCACAAGAGCATGGGATGGGAGCAATCCAGCTCACCAAAAACACATCTGCAGTGGTTGTACTGGTCTTGTCCCAACATATAGCAGATGAACTTAGCAGTAAAAGAGTCTATTTCTCTCCACTAGCTATGAAGAGATCCTTGTGAATAAGATGTGAATACTTGTATTGCCTGTATGAGTCCTACCTGAAGAGTCTAGGAAATCCATAAAACTAAAAATGCAGTAAAGAAGCAGAAACACCTTTCTCTACCAAAGGACTTAAGAAAGTGGTGGCAGAATTTTTACACCACAGATAGGGGCATATCAGACCCAGAAGGAAAGAAAGTAGTCTCCCAAGCAGAATCTTTGTCCTGGCCAAAAGCTAATTAGAAATGCATTGGGCCAGAGAAGGGTCTATGTCCAATCTCTTAATAGGTATCCCAGTGCCTGTGTTTCCAGGCAGATAAGAAGACTTCTGCAGTGAACTCCCTGACATACAATCTTTTGTATGGTTTTAGGGCTCAGTTCTTCATCTTATGGGTGACTGACAAATTCCCAAATGGTATATGCTAGTGGGTAGGCAGATGCATGGTTTAATCCCGCCCCAGCTGCAGCATAGTGCTACATCAAGCAAGAAGCTGTAAACCTGTCCTTGTTACCAGGCACTAGTAAGTGCCCCAGCTCTCCGAGCTGTTGATGTGCATTTCAAGGGGAGTGTTCTGCAGCCTCTTCTCATGCACGTTTTGCATTATCTATATATTACTTACTTTATAGCAATTATTCCATGCTTTCATTAGGCTGGATAAATGAGAGGTTGCTATAATTAAAAGGTGTTAGCTAACCTGCCTAAAAAGGATTTGCCTTACCTAAGCAGAGCTTTTGGGCCCAAGCAGTATGTTAAAACATGTTCAAACCATATATTCCCAACAACATTTGGGTGCCCATTGCTCTTTGTTTTTATAAACTATTAAGAGTAGACTGAAAGATTACATGCTGCTGGGTTTTAAGCCAGAGGAACTCTGCACACTAGGTCAATCAATACAAGCCTGCTGAATTGTCCCTGCTGTTGGGACAATTCATGCTTGTCACAATAGCTCAAATTGCTTCCTTATCTCTTCTGGTGGCTTTTAGATCTGCAGGACAGCTTAAGGCTACATGAATTGCCCACTGTAGGTGCTGTTCTACCCCCAGGGACTATGGGGGACCCAATTTAAGCCTCAAGTTGAACTCTCATATGTAGTCCTACTTAGCAAGCTCCTTTGTGTTCCAGCCTAGGGACTTCATCTTTATAGGTAATTCACTAGTCAGGATTTTTAAAGTGTTTTGACTCCAATACTGCTCTTGCTCTTCATGTCAGAATCCAGAGTAATTTGGATCTGTTTTGGATTTCTCAAAGGAGCAATGGTGTTAACAGCACTGACAGTATGAGATGTAAGTGAAGAGAGTTTTTGAAGAGAGGTGCTATCTTCTACTAGACCAATTTTTACATTGGCTAATTTGGATTTCAGTTTTCTGACCTGCATTTTTCATGTCTTAAATACCAACCATTGACACATGCCTTTTTATGCTAGATCTTTTCTAACTATATTGCAAGAGCTAAATTGATATTGCTGCAAAATTTTAATTGCCATTTATATTTCCTTTTAAAAATCCCACTGTCTGGCTGGTAGCATTTTCAAGTACCTCAGAACATTTTAAATCTGGTGTCTAGCTTCGGGTCTGTACTTCTTTTTGCCCATCTGTGACTCAATGGTAGTAAAATATGTTGTGTATTGCAGAGTACTATTAGTTGTTACTAAACGTGGCTGTGAATTTGGCACATCCTGGTGATAATATTTAGCAAAATCCAGACATGGTCAGTCTTTGAAGAAGGAAAGAATAAATAATTTTGAGATGCAGAGATGTGCCACTTGCATTTCTCTAAGAGGACTGTGTGCTCATGCCGTACCTGTGAATTTTTCGATACTTTGCTGAAGTCAGGATTCCATGTTTTGCATATGGAACTGCTGTAACTGGCTGCAAATCTGCAGGAAAAAAAAGTCCCAAGAATCAGCTTTTGATTCTTGATTTTGAACAAGTTTGTTGCCTTTCAATGACTTATCTATAGATAGCAGTATTTGAGCAGCATGGAATATGCGTCTTTTTAACTTACAAAGAGATATACTTTCAAGAATGCAGTTTTAACCATTTTATTTCTTGTTGTTGTTTTTGTTTGCAGTCCTGCCTCCTGTACTCGTTCCAAGACACAGTGAGTTTAACCCTCACCTCAGCCTCCTTGCCAAGTTTCGAAACACTTCTCTGCACAGTGAGCCACTGATGCCGCACAATGCCACCTATCCTGATTCTTTCCAGCATCCTCCATGCACCCCTTTTCCATCATCACCCAGCCACATGTTTTCCCAGTCACCTAACAGCATCAGCTATCCCAACTCACCAGAAAGCTCTTCTGGACCAGGAAGTCCCTATCAGCTCACAGGTAATAATGAGCTTTTAGACATTCTGACTGAGGCAGTCGAGGTTCTTACCAGAGCCTGGAGTCAGGTGACAATTCTGTATGCTTCCCTTAGGCTGTAGCTACAGATTGAACTGTTGGACAGAGTGGACTTGGAATGTGATTTCTTGTTACTGCTTCTTGTGTATTTGACTCCCAGTCCTTCTGAGGGATGCTCAAGGGACTAAGAATTGTAGTCATCCCACTCCTAGAAGTGCCTGGGTGAGATTTCATGATTACTGTAAGGAGGAAGTTGAGGAGAGAAGCAAGTGTGCCAGGCCACCTCCTGTCTAAAGCTGTCCATCCAAGCTTCCAATACAATTCATGGAAAAGAGCACTTGCAAGACCCAAGTAAGGGGCCTAAGATGGTCAGAGTAGGAACCTTTAGAAACTCCATCAAGAGAGAGGATAAAATGGGGAAATTGGTGTGCAGAAATATTTTTAAATGTGTGGTGATCCCACTGACTGTATAAACTAAGGTGTTTACCAATCTGGCCTAACTTGTGGAAGCCACTAGGCACATTCCTATGACTTTGAAACATGTTCCACAGTTCTGAAGTTGGGAGGGTTATGTCACTCAGATTGTTTGTGTTGTAAACTCCTTACTTAGAACTGCTCTAATTACCCGAAAATTTAACTATGCATTTGCTGTTAATGCAACACAGCTGAGAGATAGTTTTAATATCAAAACATGTTTCAGATTCACTTCTACTCTTTAACTTTCAAATAGTTTCATTATTCTCAGCTTTTTCCACAAAGATGAATTCAGATCAGAAACTTGTAGCTTAAAATTTTAGTATCTCAACTGCAAAGTGTTTAAATGCATGTCCTTAATGACATGCCTATTTTCACTTTAAGTGCAAGAAGTTTATTTTTACAAGGTATCTGTAGTATTTGAACTTCGTTTTAAGGTGGATACTTTCAATACAATGTGATGTTTTTCCTTCTCTCTCCATTCATTGAATATGTCTTCATTAATTTCTTCTCTAGATCTATATTTCAGATTAAGTCATATTTAGCAACACTGAAACATTTCATTGAGTAGTAAGACTTGTTTGTCTTCTCCTATATTTTTATTTTCAACTCTGTGTAACCAAGCTGGATTCAGTGGAGCTGGTCCTGACAGGTAAATCAGGCCCATTCCAGCTATGTAATGACTCTGACTAGTGCATTTAACTGAACTTGGGACCTTGCAAAGCTACTTAAAAATGAAAGTGGCTCAACCTGAGCTTCAGTATATCACACAGCACATGGCATGCTGATAAGCATAATTTGCCTATATAACAATCAGGGATGGAAGGGTATCTAAAGCAAACTGGAGTTACATCAAAAACCTTGAGCAGGATTGCTGTGACCAAATATAGATGTCAGCTATGCTAATTTCTGCATCTCATGCAATTCTCTATACTCTCTTTCTAATCAATGGAGGAAAACAGGGACTCCTACAACAGGATTCATTGCATCTTCTTGTATATGTTTAAAGTACCTGAGATACACTGTCTCTGTGGGTGCCTATGTTTCTCTTGTGGATATAAGGAGAGCTTATGGTGACTAGCTTAGGCATAGACATCAAAAATAGCCATATAACCACATTATTGTGTGATTATATTCCTTTCTGTGACTTGTTTTCTCTTCCACTATTTCTTGGGTTTGTTTTACCATTCTAGCTTGTTGTATTTTATGTGGGAGGCTTATGTCACCTATATGTTAGAAATATCATGTGGTGTATGAAATTCCTAAATCCTGAACAGTGCTTAAGTAAAATTACATTCCTGTTCAGTACTTACTTGGAAGATTCAATGGTTGTCTTATGAGACGGTTCACAGTCATCCACTTCCAGATGAAGTTGCTCTGTTTTGAGGGCCAGCCAACAGACCCCAAACACAACAGGGAATTTCAAACTGGAACCAAATTAAACAGTGCTTAAAGAGATCCATAGTCCTACAAGCTTGTATATGGCTATAATTAGCACATAAGCTCACAGAGTTTCTGTTCAAATGAACAAAGCTACATGCTTTGAGTGCTTATGCAGTGAATGTTGACATTTTTTAATTTGAAAATTAAGACCTTTTTTCTTTGGCTTTTTGAAGCCTTCTGTCTTTCTTGAGAATCGCTGCTATAGAGTAACCTATTTTCTAGCTCATGTTGCTGGAAATGGAACAAATCAGGAGCTGGGCAGGTTGCGAGTTGATACTTTTTCTCCTAATGTTTTCAACACATCTATTGCTCCTTGACGGGAGACTGAACAAACCAGGAGAGGACAGACTTCCCTTGTAGGACAGAGGTAAAAAAAATAAATCTGGAGGGAGATTTGCCAAGTCTGATTTTAGAGTGTAAATGCTTTCCATAGGCTCTTTTTTATAGACTGTGAAGAGAGCTTTCTCCCAGAGGATCATTTAAAGTTAGCTTCTGCTCTTAAATCATCTCCTTAAGTTTTAAATTCATGAGAGAAGTCTGGAACTGAAGGATCAAACTTCATTACTTTTGTAGGGTAACAGCTGGTGTTAAGAGAGAACTTGGCATGGGTCTAGGCCTGAGGCACTGTTGTGACTGTCCCTCTCTCAAGTGCTGCATGTCCAACATGACAGCCCTTCCTTCCCATCTTCTCTGAACACACAATGGTCTTAATCTAGAGACTGAAGGGAGATCAGGTTCAGATTTGTGCTGTTTCCAGCCCTTCTCTAGCTAAACAATGCCAAAGAGGTATAATATTCACCAGGAAAAGCCAAGAAGGACTTTACCAAGATACTGATTTAGGCTTCTTTCTTTCTTTTTTTCTCTTTCTTTCTTTCTTTCTTGCTTTCTTTTTCTTTCTTGCTTTCTTTCTTTCTTTGCTTTCTTGCTTTCTTTCTTTGCTTTCCTTCCCTCCCTCCCTCCCTGTCTCTCTCTCTCTGTCTGTCTCTCTCTCTCCCTCCATCTCCCTTCCCTTCCGTCCCCTTCCCTTCCCTCCCTCCTTCCACTCCCTCACTCCTTCCACTCCCTCACTCCTTCCACTCCCTCACTCCTTCCATTCCCTCCCTTCCCTTCCCTCTCTCTTTCTTTCTCCAGTGGAAACTCCGCCTCCGCCCTACCACACAAGAGAACCTGCAGGAATGCACAATGGACGGTCAATGGATGCAATAGCTGAAAGTCAACTAGTGCTGTCTTTGCCCAATGGAGGTAAATCTGCCGATGGAGAACCTGAAAGTAAATAACCATTTGTACTATTTTTTACATAAAAACTGTTAAGAAAAAGAATTGTCATTTGAACAAAAGGGTTCAGTGATGTGTAATAATAGGGTTCAGGCAGTTTTGCAGTAAGACTCTGTGCTAGACCCACCCATTACCTAGCAGAATAGGTTGATGTGAGAATACCGTGTATTATGTGCAAAGTTACAGAGTTTAGACTCTGTATTTTGTATTTTTATTTGTATTTTTGTACTTTAACTACTTTATGTAGTCAACTACGTTACTACTATTACTTTACTTTTGTACTTTAACTACTTTATGTTGTTTATTTGTATCCATTTAAAAGTTGTTAATGAAAGCAAGCACTGTTATCTACATCATAAAGATAAATAAATCAGGCATGGTGGGGCAGTATAACACACAAAAGCATAATCAATATCAGAACTCTTTTTTTTTTACCACCTTCAGCTCTGGGTTTCAAGTACTTTAAAGTCTTGTGGTAGGAACCTTTCTGCTGCCATCTTTGTATAAATGTTACATTACCGGCTGGCTAGAAAAGAAAAGGACATGTTCTAGTTAAGTACAAAGAGATTTTTACAGAAGACCAACCTCTGTCCTCTTATGAGAATACTTTAGTGGGAGAGGGCATGGATGGTCAGAGAAGAAGGGTCTGGGATCCTCCTTGCACCCCTCAAAGCAACTTGATGTCATCTTCATCATGGTCCCTGCTACCTTTGCACCAATACTGGCAACTAATGTCTCCACTCTTCAAAGGCCATTGCTGGAGAGTACCAAGGGCAAATGGGAGTTCCTCTGCTGGGTTTTACTTTGGCTTCCTGCTACTGCAAAGGAAAAATCACCATTGTTCTTTTAGTCCATCATATTGTATTCTTAAAGAAATGTGGTTTATAGAATGAGGACTGAACACTGTGCACACACATGCACATTAAAAAATTACTGCCAGTTCTTCTGAAAAAATGAGAAGGCTGTATGTAGCATGGAACTGGAGCAGAAGGAAGGATGGTGCTAATTACACAGAGTGACCAGATAATAATAAGTTATCAGACACAAATACTTTAAAATAAATTGTCAAGCTACTTTAATCTCTTTATCATAGTTTACCACCCTGATCACTATCCTACTGAATATTAGTTAGGAGTTTATTAGAGGTTACGCACAGAGGCTCTGAGGGCAGGCAGGCTTACATGCCTGTGGTGAGCAGGCAGGATAAGGTTTCCTTCTAATTTCTGTAGGAAAAATGAGGCTCAGAGATTCTGTTACATTTTTCAGTCTGTCTCTGACTTAGAAAACCTGGGCATGGGTAGATCCAAAAGAAATGACCTTGCTGACATTTCTGCTTACGATCCCACATGGAAGCAGAAAGCCTGAAAGCATCTAAAAATTGAGAATGGGGGATGGGAGGTGGGGGTAGTGATTTATTACTTCTGAACTACAGAGTTTGGTATTAGGCTGAAGGCTTGCCTTAGTTTTGACTTGCTTTGAGCCCATCTGTCATCCCTAGCTCCTGCTGGTGTATAGAGCAGATGTATCCCTTACTATTTTCAGTGTATAATTTGGGCCCCAGTTCAGCAAGGAATGTCAATGTGTTAGAGTTAAGCTGGTGCATCAAACTTTTGCATGTTTGGGACTTCAGTAAAAAAAGTTAAGAAGCAAGGGAAGCTGCTGTTGAGATAAAGCATGACATAAGTGACTGTTTAGATGAAGAGATGGGGGGCTGAGAATGGGAGAGAGGAAAGAAAACAGAGAAGGATTGTTTAAAAAATATTACTGAGACCTAAGCAGCTGACTAACTTTTATTTCCTACAGACTTTCGGCCTGTTTGTTATGAGGAACCCCAACACTGGTGCTCAGTTGCCTACTATGAACTCAACAACCGTGTAGGGGAGACTTTCCAGGCTTCCTCTCGAAGCATCCTTATAGATGGATTTACAGATCCCTCAAATAACAAAAACAGGTTCTGCCTGGGTCTGCTGTCAAATGTAAACCGCAACTCTACTATAGAAAACACCAGGAGACACATAGGAAAAGGTAAGAGGAAATCCCTTCTCTTCAGGAATATTCAGAACTCAAAAGATCCACATATTGTATTAACAGACCTATCTGATTTGTCAAATGCGCTTGTCTTAAAATAAAAGCTCTGAGATTATTCTGAAATAGAAGAAAAGCAGCTGATTCTTTTCTGACTGGATAACAAGCAGCAGAGTAACTCCTTACAAAAGCTATTTACTTGGCCAGTGAAGAGAAAAATGTTGTTTACAGTTATGTGTTCTGATTTAGCAGTATGTATTTTCATTTTATTTATTAGAGCTTCTGGCAACTGGGAATATTGCCATTGAAATGCCACTACAAGGATAATTGCTGGTGCCTGAGGGCTGATTCTCCTCCCACCAAATAGCAAAGGGAAATGGATGAAACACTTAGTAGTTGAGTTACTTAGCTGAAGAACTCTACCACAGTTGTCTTTGTAGCTTCCCCCCCCCTCGCTGCCACCACCAGTCTGATTCCCTGCTTTGCCAACTTTTCACCAGTAAAACTAAGGCTTCCGTTCTCCCACCGGTGGTTCTCTTTGTATGCTCCACTGCTGGTGTACAGTGTGCAGAATCATATGCTGCTGGTGAGAGACCACACCTGGACATGCGTGACCACACGCAGTCTGCCCCAGCTCACTGGGGCTGTGTAGGGCTTGATATTCTCGCAGAATTTACTGTTGTCTGTGATGGTGAGTCAGAAGCCCTGTGCCAGCCACTTCTCCATGCAGATGAAGCTTTTCATGTTCTGGTATATCCAGTCTAGACTCATTATCTTGCCAACCCAGCCTCGCACCAGTAGCTACTTGGGAATGTATTTCTCACTGGGCTAATTAACTCTAATTGTTCCACTGCTATTATCTTGTCAACCTCACCTTGTTTCCCAGGCCTAGAGCAATATTTTAATTGGCTCTTGATAGTCTAGTGTTGAATGACTGAATACAAGGAAGCTCTGAGACAAATGTGATACAGTTTTTGCAAACAGCAGTGAACCTGAAGGCTGGTGCAGGAGATGTGCTTTACTCTTGCACTTTTCTCTGGGAGGGAAGGCACTTGTGTTGCAGATGTGCTGTGTGAAGCCAGTGTGATGCTACAAGTGTCTGTCATAGTGGTTCGTTGTGAGAGGTGCAAATGTGTTGTACATCTAGTTCTAACTTAGTAAATAAAGCAAAGCTTTCCTATCAGTGTAAGTTGTCAGAGGGATGTAGATGAAAGATGAGCCTGGCCCTAAAAGAATGACAAAAGATCCCAGCTGTCATTTGAGGATGTTACATCCTGTGACTTTCTGCGCCAAAAGAGGAACAGACAGAACAAAAATAAAATTAGGGAAATGCTAATGGTCTTCATCCATTTAAATCTGAAGATCTGTCTTCATTGCTTAAAAGTCCTTTAAAGTCCTACACTAGGAATCTGCCCAAGGGAAGGGAGCAGGTTGCCCAGAGAGGAGTTCAGTGTATCAGAGATCTGTGATTTTACTGTTCTTGCCTGTTTATGTAAATCTTAAAAGAACATATACAAGTGGAGTATAAGTGGCACCAGTACAGGCCTGCAGAAGAGCAGCTGCAAAATGTGTAGTTCAAAAGCATGGTGGACAGATGAAAGCTACTGAAATGGATACAGTTGTCACATGTTAACAGGGGAGAAAAAAGAGTGAGTAAACAAGATTAGCTCAGTAGGATAAGGATATGCGATTGAATTGTCATCTAGTGTATCAGCGTGAAACGGTTTCCTGGAAATACCACATCAAAGCTAAAAACAATCCAGAACACAATGCAACATCTACTAGCAATTGGACCTGTTTCAGCAGTTAGACTTCAAGGACAAAAAGGGGACTTTTGATCAGTGTCAAGACGATGTGGATGCTTGGAGACTGCTGAATTTCCAGCTTCTGCGTGGAGCAATGAAATCCCACTAAAACATATGGACCCTTGATTTGGTCTTCTACAAATATGTATCTAGCAGCTTGGTTTCCTTGAGGGTGCTTTCCTCTGATGAATGAATATTAGAAGAACAGAAATACATACTGATATTTCATTACTGCTGTATTTACTGTTTTTAAAAAGTCCACAAGGAAAAAGCAATTTGTAGCATCTGCTTTTGGGACTAACGGTGGTTTTGTTACTATAGCAGACAGAGTGGGCGATGCCTTTGAAAGAATTAATTTTTTCCAGAAAATGGGTTACTCAATATACTTCAAAAACCCAGCCTTAAAAATTTTTCACCTTAGTACCACAAAGTGTGGTGACCCTAAATCAGTAGCCACACTTTAAGATTTGAAATGTGGTGAATTTTTATGTCCTTATTCTTCTCTCCTTACCCTCTGTTCTCACTCTATCTGATTATTTCAGAAAATTATACGGACTCCATCAAGGTCCTTCCTGTTTTCAGTCCTTCCCTTTTATGCATTTCCAAGGTAAGGAAAGGAGAGTAGGTCAAGTAATAGCAGTCACAGTGTGCAGCACCCCACAGTGTCTGGCGTAGTCAGAGCAGACCTGAAGACTGGTAGAATGGAGCTGTCCCCTTGCTTGTGTTCCCAGTGCAGCACCAGTGTGTATTTCAAGCCACACCCCTGCCACTCACATCTCATTTGAGATCTTGTGGGTGCATAGAAGTCAAGTGGTGGCTTGAAGACAGACTTAAAGGTTCCTGTCTGAGTCACCCTGGAAAACTGTGGGAGAACATAATCTTCCCAGATTCCTTTCCCACTCAACCTGCTTTTCCCTGAGCTTTTCCCACTTCTGTTTAGAGGCTGGTTTTGTCCTGGGGATGTGCTGCTACCCCTTGTTGTTATGATCACAGAATGATGAACAGACTGGGAATATGTAACCAATCTTTTTATGAAAGACACCAGGAATAAAAGTAATTTCAACTGCATTATTAAAGCATAGTTATCACTAGGTTTGGAGGCAGTCCACTGAGGCTCTGTGAAAATGTACATTTGTATGTAAGTGTTTGAATGCCATACCTGGGAATAGAGAGGAGGATTTTACTTTTATTTAGTGGTGGTTTTTATGAGAACAAAGAATTGAGTTCTTCCACCTCTCTTGGCTATGGGAGGGGTTCATTTCCCCTAATCCAGCCATGGGAAAGGTGACTGCCTGGGCATTTTCACAGGATGACTTGGCCCCTTTTAGGGTGTGGCTTCATGCTCACGTTTAAGCAGGCTGGGTCCCTATTGCCGCGCTTGCACTGATGAAGATCTCACTGCAAATAGATTTTGTTTGGTTGGTTTGGTTTGAAGTTTATTAGCTGGTTCCCGATCCTCAGCCATTGCTGCCAGCACGAAAGCAGGTGTGAGAAGAAACAGCAGGGGTAGGGAATGGGAGAGCCTTTTCAGCACCTACACAGACTTCCATGCGGTTAAACTGGCTGTAAGCCTGCACTCTGTAGCGGATGGAATGAATCATCTGGTCACAATGCCTCTCATCATCTATCAGCTAGGAAAGGTGTCTACACAATTAGCTTACACAAGATCCCTAACTTTAAGGTTACTGAATTAGGCTAAGATAAATTCTCACACCAATTTAGGTATATTTTCATGCAAGCAGATATCCTGAGGGGATCAGAGTATTTGAATGGATAGAACTGCTTCCACCTTCATTTCCCCAAGGCACAGTCAAAATTTGAAGGTTAGTGTTGGTAAGTCACTTGGGCACTGGAAAGTTCAGAATAAAATCAGTCCTTTTCTTGCTAAAGGTCACTTGGAACAGGATCTGACGAGTCAGTCACATCATGTAAATGCAAATACTCGGTTCTGATGTGATGGATAAAGCAAAATACAGAAAAGCTATTTTAAGTACACACTATGCTGTGTTTTAACTGTATGACATAGGATCCTGTAGTAAAATAACAGCATGCAGTGAAGTGGGTCTTGGTCAGCGTGCATGTTCTCAGCAGAGAAAATACACTTCAATGTGTATGTAATGTAATACTGATTTTTCAGTTCTTGGATAGTTTTGATTCATGCTTTGTATATGGTTGACATGTGTTTGATACTTATGTATGTGTGTCTGTCATAAAGTACTGTGCTGTTGGGTAAAAGAAGTAAACCAAGTTTTACTGAGAAACAAAGAAAAATACGGCCTTCCAAAACTTTTTTTTTCTAGACCGGTACCTCAAAATAGTGTTTATGATATTTTCCTCTTAATGTTAGTGGCCTCTTGTACGGTACATAGATATGCACACATTTTACTGTCTTCTAAAAGGTAATGTATAGGTACCAGGTATCTGGAATGATCCTGGGTTTGTATGCCAGGATAAAAGAAAAAATTATTGGTATAAAGTGTGTTGTGAACAATGAAGAAATGATACACATTACATTTTCTTTTTCAAGGTGTTCATCTTTACTACGTTGGAGGGGAAGTTTATGCCGAATGTGTCAGTGACAGCAGTATTTTTGTGCAAAGCCGCAACTGTAACTACCAGCATGGTTTCCACCCAGCCACTGTCTGCAAGATCCCCAGTGGCTGCAGCCTCAAGATCTTCAACAACCAGCTCTTCGCCCAGCTGCTTGCCCAGTCAGTCAATCATGGTTTTGAAGTGGTGTATGAGCTGACCAAGATGTGTACTATTCGAATGAGCTTTGTTAAAGTAAGGATTCTTTGTTTTCTCTTGCATTTCTGCAAAGGCAAATCCCGTTACTTTCTAGCTCCCATCAAATCCTTTCTGAAGCAATTCAGACTGCCTCTTTTCCAGTATTGCCTTAAACTTCTAGGTGCTTACAATCATTAGTTTTGAGGTCAACCTCGAAATTTCTTAGATTCCAAAATTTGGATATTCCATAGGCTCTCTGTGGAAAATAGGCAGAGAATGCATGGTGGAGTTCCCCCACTGATTGCACAAAAAGCTCAACTTGGAAGGGCTTAGCAAAATGTAAATGTCTTAGGCAGTTGTGATCTCTCATATTGTTACAGGTTTGCAATAGAGCTTGATAGAACCATAGGTCTGAAAAGAATGTCCTTATGTCTCTAGGCTAATTTACAGTCTCACCAGTACTATAGACTGATATATATGGTCTCAGTCAAGAAACACTGTATCCTTCTTCATCTCTCACTTAGCTTGCAGGGAGTTGTTGTTTGCCATCTGCCTGATCCCTGGCTAAAGATTGTCGTAATTTCTGATGACGTTCCCTCTGGCCAGCCACAGGATCAGAAGGCCTTCTTGCAAGCAGAATAGAAAAAGAATACCTGATCTTCTCTCTGTTACTTGGAAGAGACAGGAGGCCACCAAAGCAATTACTGTTTCGATGTCTTTCATATCTGAACTTCACAGTCTGACTGCTCTGTGTGATATCTGTGTGATATTTGTGGGAGTTTCTCAAATTTTCTGAATGGCCTTCTCACCAGAATGAGATCTCTTGACTCCTTTTAGCACTTAGAATTTACTTAGGTGCCTATTGTAGCATCTAAACCCCAAAGAATGGTGGGTATTTAAAGATTGTTTGCAGATATGCTAGACTGACTTGCTATAGTGCTGCTGGGGAGAGCTGGCAGCAATGTTCAGCCTGCAAACTAGAGGAGCTGCACCATTAGAAGCCAGTTGGTCCTGCTAGGTACCATAAAAAATGGCTTGTGTATGTGCTTTCGTCTTGCAGATTTGTTTCTATACAAATGACTGAATCAAGATGATTGAATTCTAAGATACTGAAAAATTGCTTGAGGCTTGAGCCCAGTTACCTTATGTTCTACAGAGCAGATGAGTTGAGTCCTACACATCTTTCTGACTTTTTCAAGCCATCCTTGGGGACCCATCTCCTTAAGTCTCTGAGAGCATTAAGAGTGCTCTGTAACTTCTCCCAGGAGTCCAAGCCAAAATCTCCATGCCCATCACCATGCCGCTGCTTTGTTCTTGTGAAGGAGCTGACATCTTGTTCACATGCAAACTTTAGGGGGGAAAAGGAAAGCAAGAAACTCAACAAACATTTTCTTTAATTAATGGAAGACATGAATGGGCATGTTGTTTGTAAAGGCGGTGTAGCCAGTTACGCAATATTTTCATTATCTCAGCAACTTGGGGACAGTCTGTTTGATGTGTTATCTGCCTCCATGCTCAGCATGGCAGCAGAAATGGTGATGTTGATGCACTCTATATTGCTGCTGCCATATTATCATCTTGCTTTGTTGAAACAATAGCAGGTACTATAGTGCCTCAGGCACCAGAAGACCAGGTGCCTGGAGTTCTTTTGAAACCTTTCCCATGACCTTTGGGAAATTGCTATGCAAATCTCATCTAGGTTCTTTGTTCCTGGCCTATGAATACCTTTTCCTGTACTCAGTCTTCTCAAAATATTTCTCTCCCAAGGTGTGAGCCCCTGTGTGTTCAGTCTGAGGTCAGGAGTGCCGCTGGATGTTGGGTATGCAGTTGCAGATAGGGGCATGCTGTCTGTCAGAGAGCCCCCAAGAGAGCCCCCAGGTGCAGGGTGATGCTGTGGCTTCTCCCCTGATTCGTGTCCAGATGCTGCTGGTCACCTACAACCCACAGGACGAGCACAGCTAAAGGGCTGGAGACCCTGTCTCCTACCCCACCAATGCTTGAGCTACCAGCTGGGAGACAGCAATGGAGAGGGACCAAGACATGAGAAACTTGCCAGGACTGTGTTGTCTTCTGGAGGCAGGACATGGGACAGAGGGAGGTAAATGTCTTGTCCCCTCTGATGTCCTTTGTGTGCCCACAGAGCAGCTAGGAGCTCAGTTGTGGATGTACCATCAGTGAGAGCAGTTTTCATCCATTGAGCACTTCTGATAACCAAAGCAGGATGGTGTTGGCCCCTCTCCACAGCTGAGGCAGCTGAAGCACAAAGGGTAGAGATGAAGAGTTTCTCTAAGCTGAGGTCTGAACCCAGCACAACCCCTCACACATTTTCCCAAGTCTTGGGGCTAAGGGGAAGACCCAGCAGACTCGACTGTGTTCCATGGCATGAGGTAACTCAGTACTCTGGGACATGGCTGGAGCCTGGGCTGGAGAGAGCTGTTGCCCACAGGAGGCAGGGAGGGCTGGCAGGAGCAGCAGGACCCTGTGGAGGTACTAGTATCCTCTTCCTACCATCTGTGCAAAACACCGTCACAGCTTTGCAAGCTGTGCTCATCTTATTCCCTCATTAAGAGAGTCCGAGTTCATTTTGACCCTGGGGATAAAGGAGGCTACCTGCGACCCTAGAGTGATATACAAGGGGCCACAGGGGCCTTGTCCTCCTACTGTTTCCCCTGGCAGGGCTCCAGCCAGAGACAACATCACTGGGAGTGTTTGGGAGTTGCCAGCAGAGGGAGATGGCCAGCCGCCTGCATGCGCTGCCAGACTCCCCCAAATCTGGCAGGTTGTACTTTCAACCTGCGATTGCCATTCCTCTGGCTTTTCCATTCTGCCAGTCAGCAGAGGTGCGTCGGCTCCTCTAATGCCCTTCTGGCTGTGTATCTTCATTGCAGCTGAGTACTTGCAACTTCATCATCTCAGGAGTGTGACGGCACTGGCATTTTATGCAAACATTTACAGAACATCAGTCTGAGGTCCTGTGAACACAGGCCCTTTCTAGCTTGATACGTGCTTTGCAGTTCAGAAAAATGCTGCCTGTTTAGAAGTACTCTGGGCTTTTGTGGGTCCATATTTTACTCTTCTGCTTTCTTTCCCCTTTTCATTACTTAGTAGCAATGAATTTTATCCAGACCACTTATTATGGCATCCTGTTTTGGTGTTGATCTTAATTTTGCAGCTGAACATCTAAAGAAGTGGGCTCTAGCACCTTCACTTGTCGGAGTTGTTCAGCAGTCTACAATTTAAGTGCTTTTGGCAGGCATCATTCTTAATATACCTCCACATCCTTTTTCCATGACAAGAATACCAACCTGCCTGACTAGCATAATGATAGGTAAGACTCAGTGTCTGATCAACATCCCACAAATGAAGATCCTCATCCTGTAGTGGGACCATGTTTTACACATTGCCCTGTGGAAATCCCAGTTCAGTTCTGCCAGTGAGACAGCCGGTGAGCTGCAAGACTTTGGGCTGTGACTCGGAGACCTCATGTTGCTGTGAAATCAGGCTACCTGCTTAGGGGGTAGACACTGAGCCTGCTTGAATCATAGAATCATAGAATATACTGAGTTGGAAGGGACCCATGAGGATCATCGAGTCCAACTCCTGGCCCTTCACAGGAGAGTTATACTATGTGCCTGAAAGCGTTGTCCAAACACTTCTTGAACTCAGACAGGCTTGATGCTGTGACCACTTCCCTGGCGTGCCTGTTCTACTGCTCAACCACCCTCTGGGTGAAAAATCTTTTCCTGATATGTAACCTAAACCTGTCCCTTGAGGCATGGGGGCTCCAGGCTCTTTTCTCCCTGCCAGCACCACATCCCCGTCTTCTGTCAGATGCTCTGTATCCCTTGTCGCACCAAAAGAGCTGGAGAAATTACTGCAGGACTTCCCACAGCGGGCAGCTGGGAACTCCTGTGGGAAAAGAGGACATGTTCAAGGATAGAAAACCTATGGAAAATATATCTATACATAGGTTAGGTATGGTACATAGGAACTGCTGAAAGTTTCCAGAGGTTTAGATAAATACCTAGAACTTCTAGGGTCTCAGACTCATACAATGCATCCCTACCAATACATGAAGCAGTGCCCAGGATCATACCCAGTTCCTGTTAAAATGTTATGAAAGAGCCTGGCCTGCTTTTTATCTGTGCCAGACAGCAGTCTGCCAGACTTTCCTGGGCATGTCTCTGGGGTGCAAACAGCAGGGACCGTTCCCCATGGGCTGTTTGCAGGCAACAAGCTTGGAAACAGGCCTTTCCATGCCAGTTGTTTTCAGCACTTGGAAGTGTGAAGATATTTTTAATTTAATACCATAGAGTAACCATATAGGTAACTGTGATAACAATGACCTTAAAAAGTAGCAAAGTTTCTGGAGAAAATTATCCCTAGGACAAAGCATTACATCTTGGGAACTTGGGTGGTGTACTACCTGTAGTTGTGTTAAGACTGTCAGCACTGGAGTTGTGATTTAATGTTTTGGTTTTCTTAAAAAAAACCGCTCACTTTTTGGTCCTTTTGTAGGGCTGGGGAGCAGAGTATCATCGCCAAGATGTTACAAGCACGCCCTGCTGGATTGAGATCCACCTGCATGGACCGTTGCAATGGCTGGATAAGGTGCTGACACAGATGGGCTCACCTCACAACCCCATCTCCTCAGTCTCTTAAGAATCATCTCTAGAATTTCTTTAGGATGGATGCTATTGCAGGCAGTGGCTTATAGAATTCCCAGTGAACAGAAGCTTCTATATGTAGATGTATGTAGATGTAAATATATCTATACATAGTCTACTCTCTTTTTTTTTTATGCTGCATTTTGTGGTTTCTAGTTACTCTGATGCCAGTACAACAAGTTTAGAAATTCAGGTATAGCATATCTGTTCTCTAGTGCAAAATAAGCCAAATTCCTGCAAAAGTGTCAAACATTTCCTGTGAGCATCTTCATTCCCCAGCCAAGCCAGTAAATGGTGCGAATTCTCAGCACTTTCATGTGGGTTCGGAAACCTGGCTGTAGCTGTTCCTAGTAGGTGAAATTCACCCCTCTGCAGGCAACCAAAGTCAGATCTCTATGCCATTTATATCCATTTTACATCCTAATTTCAGGTCTAAAAGTGGACCTTAGATGGTGCACAGGACTTATGCATAGAGATGACTTTTATCTAGTGAACTGAAGGACTAAATTGCAATTCCAGTCTGACTCCCTACTGCAAAGCATGATGGGACAACAAATCCTCTGAGGAGCTGAGGCACCTGCATCTCCCCTAGGATTTGGCAGGGGGAGAGAGCCCTCAGGACATACTCAGCACTGGAGCCTTATCAGAGCATTCTGGACACCTCCAAGTAATCTGTTACTGTTGACACAGTAGGGTACGGTATTGCTGCACTGAAAAGCAACAAGCTCCTAAGAAAAAAATAATAATTGAAATATAGGCCTATGAGTTAAAAAACTAATTAACTTCCAGTGCTTTTTTGCAAAGTACATACATACTTGCATATGTATCCGGCATGTAAACTGAATCCTATCCATGATACAGTATTGATGTAGTTTGTTTTAAAGTTAGGACTGTCTGTAGATAGAATACTGTGCTGATATCAAGGGTACACCTCAAAGGGGCTTGAACTGTGATTCAGAAAAGGGAAATGAAGTGTGCATTGAAGAAGCAAATAATTACTTTATCATTCTTCTTGGGATAGTCTCCATACTGGGAGCAGGAAGCCCCATGCCCACAGGATGCAATGAGAAGGAGATGGGAGTCAGCCATCCCCTGTACTGGGCCAATCCTTGGGATCTGACTGCATCACTTGGGTCCGACAGAGAGAGGGCTTCCCTGCCAGTTGCTCCATACATCCCCACAAATGGTTTCTCATCTTAGATACAGGTTCCATCATTTGCTGTGCTTTTGCCTTACCTGCAGGTGATGGTGAGGTAGTGTAAGTCGTGAACAAGCAAAGAGTGAATCGATGTGCAGAACCTTGTCTGTGTTCCTTCTGTAAACAGGGAAACCTATTGCCCATACCCTCATCCACAGAGCCAGCCTTACAAAAAGGTTCACTTTGTAACCTTTTCGGAGGAGACATGTGAAACTCTTAATACATTTTGATTGTCTCCATCATTTTGCCGAAAGAATCAAGTATTATTTCTTTCAAGGCATAAAAGTTCATTGAAAATTGTTTTGCTTTAAGGATCAGAAAGAGTGATAACTTCTCCAATCTCATTCCTCCATGGAATACACTAGAAGTATCATGAGGAAAAAAAAATGTTTTACAGAATGTTTCTTTTCTTCTCACACAATATCTGGTGCTACACATTTTGCTGCATAAGTCGAAGAGGATGCCTGAAATCTTCAGCTATATCACATATGCAAAGGAAATAACATTCACTGGAAAGACAGTAAGTAAAGTAACAGTGTTATTTCAGTGCATCTTCAGCTGCCTGTGAAATTTGCAGGACACAGAAGGATAAATTATTGTTAAGTTTGAGCAGTAATAGCAAGTTGTATATGAAATTTGTACATGCGAAGAAACCTGTTCTGTCACCATTTGACGTCATGGGTGTCACTGTGAGATAGGAAAAGCTTTACAGTCTCTTGCAGCAATGAAATACAATAATAATATTACACAGAAATTCCAGGTGTGCCATTTACTGTTTAGCAGACTTGAGAGACATCAGTTTGGAAAAATGCGTTTTCCTCAGCTCCCTCTGTCATCAGTGACCCTGTACCAAGGTACTGGTAACATGTTTTTTAGCATGTTTATTGCACCTCTTCTCCAGTAGCACCTTTGCTCTAGGATGAGCACCTTTGTGTGTAGCTCATTTCTTTGCTTTCTTAGCAGCTAAGGACCAGAGAAAATCACCTCTCCTGTCTAGGATCTAGCTCTGTCCTTTATCCTAGGTTCCCCCTTGTCTTTTAGGCTGAAACCTCCTTCCCTTCTAATATAGAGAGAAGCTTTTATAGAGAGAAGACATTCCCAGCATTGTCATCTTCCTCACAGAGAGCAAAAAGATGTTCTGAGGTGTATCTGCTCTTGCGCAGCTCCAGAACCCAGTTTCTGCCAATGCTGAAAAATAGGCCAGTGAAGAGAAACAGGTCCTTTTGGGACATCATTCATTTCATCATAAGACAGGCATTTCAAGTAGGTGAAAATGTACTTTGGGCATGCTTATGTTTTCCCACTGAGTATAAGGGGAACTTGTGTCTCTAGCGCAAATGTGGACTGCTACACTGGACATTCCAAAAGTAGATGAGGTGGACCCTAAGGAAGATGTGGTAGCTTTCCCAGCCTAATAACGATGCTTGCTCAGTTAAGTGTCTGTGTTGTTTGAATAAAAGTTGGTAAAATCAGAGCAGTTCTTTCTTTCCTGTATGTCTACTTTTATAGTAATCCTTATATGAATGGAATTTGGCTTCCATGCAGTCCATACATGCATCTCATTTAAGGCAGTCACCTTAATACTACCTTACTAATAAGTAAAGAGGAATCTCTGAAGCATGATTCTTCTGACCTATTTAAAACATCGGTATTAGAATGAAATGAATTTCAGCAAATATAACTATTTGTCAGAAATTGGATCAAAGCACCTGATTCTGGGCAATTGAAGCCAATGGCCATCACAGAGTTGTTAGCCTTTAGGAAGGCTGGTATCGCTGTGTCAACTATTTCTTCCTGTTTTGGTGGCCTCTGGGGACTTATCCCACCATGTGGAATGCTGTGCAAACACAGAGAAGCTGGCAGCTCCTTCCCAAGTGAAGGGGAGAGCTCACAGAGAAGTGATAATAGTGAATGAGGAAAACAAGTAAATAGGAAGATAATCCCTGCCCAGATGCAGAGATAAAAAGTAAGGTTATTAAACCATTTATTTCCCTTTCTTTTTGAACAAAGTTTCTTTTACAGGCTTCTTTAGTATATGTGAATTGAACTTGGTTAAAAATTCAGGTTTCTCTTAATTTACAGCAATGTAACTTTGTATCTCTAATGTCTCCCCATTTTGGAAGGAGATATTTGCTGCTGAAAGGTCTTCATAAACCTATCCACCTGTAGCAATTTAAGGCCTTTAAATGTACTCACTAATACTCAAGCTTTGGAGGTAGTCTTCCTGAGAGATTTAAACTCGCTCACGGGAGACTACAATCAGCTGACCAGGGGGTGGAGCCAAGGTAGTTTCCTGGAGATTTAAAGTGCTCCAGGGAGTGTAAGTGACCTGGAGCAGGCAAACAGGGATGTGGCACATCAGTGAGGTTGTGGCATGGCAGTTCGCACAGGCAGGGGAAGCAGGAAGGGCACAGCCACCCTCCCAGCTCTCTCTGGTGGATTGTGACGTAGGTGGGTGGCTGTGGTTTGTTTTTTCCTGCAAGTCAACTAGACCCAGCAATGGTTTACAAATGAGCAAAAGCTGCTGGTGCTGCTATCAGGGGGAGTGTGCTAACCCAGACAGAACCCCCTGAGAAGGATGTGGCTGTTCAGGTCTCTGGCTGCATGGAGTGTCTGAGCCTGGCGTTAGTACCAGAGGACAGTGTGAGAGACACCTGTGTACGATGTGAGCAGGTAAATGATTTGCTTTGCTTAGTGGCAGAGCTCAAGGAAGAAGTAGAGAGGCTAAGAAGTATTAGGGAGCGTGAAAGGGAAATAGGCTGGTGGAGTCATACCCTTTCAACCCCAAACAAAGTCCAGCAGGAGACGGTGAAGCCCTGCCCCTCCTGCCATCAGGCAGATGGAGCAAAAAGTAGATGGGGGGGAATGGAAACCAGAGAGACCACCATCACCTCCCCGGGTGCCCTTAAAGAACAGGTGTGAGGCCCTGGACCCAGAGAGTCAGGCAGAGGGCAGTCAAGAAGAGAATCTGTCTGGAGGGTCTCCTGGTTGCACCCCATCTACTAGATGGATCACAACCAGAGCTATAAAGAAAAAAAGAAGGGTAGTTGTAGTAGGCGGCTCCCTTCTGAGGGGAACGGAAGGCCCTATATGCTGACCGGACCCATCCCCTAGGGGTGTCTGCTGCCTTCCTGGGGCCTGGGTGAGGGATATTAGTAGGAGACTCCCTGAGCTAATCCGGCCCTCTGATTGTTATACACTGCTGGTCATGGTCCAGGCTGGCAGTGATGACATAAATGAAAGAGGTACCAGGCTAATTAAAAAGGACTTCAAGGCACTGGGTCGATTAGTTAATGGGACAGGAGCACAGGTGGTGTTCGCCTCAGTTCCTGCAGTAGCAGAGATGAATGAGGAGTAGGAAAACCCGTCTTATCAATAGGTGGCTAAAGGGTTGGTGCCACCAGCAGAATTTTGGTTTCTTTGACCATGGGGCAAATTCTATGGTACCTAGCCTTCTAGAGTCAGACGAGCTTCATCTATCTAGCAAGGGCAAAAGGACTCTAGCCCATAAGTTGTTGGGGCTGATCAGGAGGGCTTTAAACTAGGTTTGAAAGGGGAAGGGTTTGAAACCAGGCTCTCCAGAGATGAGCCTAAGGGTAGAAAGCCAGGGTTAGGAGTGATATCAGCAGCCCAGGTGAAATGCATGTACACCAAAGCACACAGTATGGGTAACAAGCAAGAGGAGCTGGAAGTCATCATGCAGCAGGAAAGCTATGACGTAGTCGCCATCACAGAAACGGGGTGGGATGACTTGCATGACCGGAGTGCTGCCATGGGTAGCTACAAGCTCTTCATAAGGGATAGGTGAGGTGGAGGGGTGGCTCTATATGTTAGAGAGTCTCTTGACACTCTAGAACCTAGAGTCAGTAATGATAAGGATGAGTGCCTGTGGATCAGAATCAGGGGGAAGGCCAACAAGGCTGACATCCCGGTGAGAGTCTGTTTGTTATAGACCCCCCAGTCAGGATGAAGAGGGTGATGAATTATTCTACAAGCAGCTGGCAGATGTCTCAAAATCGCCAGCCCTTGTTCTTGTGGGTGACTTCAACCTGCTGGATGTCTGCTGGGAACTCAACACAGTGGGGAAGAGGCAGTCTAGGAGATTCCTAGAGTGTATAGAGGATAATTTCCTGCTTCAGCTGATAAATGAGCCTACCAGGGATGGGGCCCCACTAGACCTTCTGTTCCCAAACAGAGAGGGGCTGGTGGGAGATGTGGTGGTCAGAGGCCATCTGGGGCACAATCACCATGAAATAATAGAGTTTTCAGTACTCAGGGACACAAAGAGGGCCATCAATAAAACTTCTACCCTGGAATTCCAGAGGGCAGATTTCGGCCTACTCAGAAGACTGGTTCAGAGGGTACCTTGGGAAACAGCCCTTGAAAACAAGGGGGTCCAGGAGAAATGGACATGCTTCTAGAAGGAAGTCTGGAACGCACAGGAGCAGGCTGTCCCAGTGTGCCAAAAGGCAAGCTGGCGGGAAAGACGACCAGCCTGGCTGAACAGGGAGATTATGAAGGAAATAAGGGGAAAAAAGAGAGCTTACCAACTATGGAAAAAAAGGCTGGCTACTCATGAAGAGTTTAGGAATATAGTTAGGTCATGTAGAAAGAAAATTAGACAAAGGCACAATTTTAACTCAGTCTGGCCACTTCTGTGAAGGACAACAAAAAGTGCTTCTACAAATACATAATAGCAAAAGGAGGGGCAAGGAAAACCTCCATTCTTTTTTGGACATATGGGGGAACAAAGTCACCAAAGATGAGGAAAAGGCTGAGGTACTTAACACCTTCTTTGCCTCAGTTTTCAACAAGAAGGCAGGCTGTCCTCAGGACAACTGGCCTCCAGACCTGGTAGACAGAGACAGGAAGCTGAATAGTCCCTCTTTAATCCAGGAGGAAACCTCAGCCACCTGCTGAGCCATTTGGATCCTCACAGGTCTATGGGACCAGATGGGATCCATCCTAGAGTGATGAAGGAGCTAGTGGAAGAGCTCGCCAAGCCGCTCTCCATCATCTACCAACAGTCCTGGCTCACTGGGGAGGTCCCAGATGATTGGAAGTTGGCGAATGTCACGCCAATCCACAAAAAGAGCTGCAAGGAGGACCTGGGAAACTACAGTGCCCGGCAGGGTTATGGAGCAGTTCATCCTAAGTGCAATCACACAGCACCTACAGGATGGACAGGGGATCAGACCCAGTCAGCACGGGTTTAGGAAGTGCAGGTCCTGTCTGACCAACCTGATCTCCTTTTATGATCAGGTGACCCACCTGGTAGATGAGGGGAAGGTTGTGGATATAGTCTGTCCGGACTTCAGCAAAGCCTTTGTCACTGTCTCCCATAGCATTCTCCTGGAAAAGCTGGCAGCCCACGGCTTGGACAGGGGCACTCTCTGCTGAGTTAAGAACTGGCTGGATGGCCGGGCCCAGAGAGTGGTGGTGAACGGAGCTACATCCAGTTGGCGGCTGGTCACTAGTTTAATATCTTTATTGATGATCTGGATGAGGGGATTGAGTGTACCATTAGCAAATTTGCAGATGACACAAAGCTGGGGGGGAGTGTTGATCTGCTGGAAGGCAGGAGGGCTCTTCAGAGGGACCTGGGCAGACTGGAGAGATGGTCTGATTCCAACAGGATGAGGTTCAACAAGGCCAAGTGCCGGGTCCTGCACTTTGGCCACAACAACCCTCTGCAGTGCTACAGGATGGGCACAGAGTGGCTGGAGAGCAGCCAGGCAGAAAGGTACTAGGGAGTTTGGATTGACAGGGAGCTGAACATGAGCCAGCAGTGTGCCCAGGTGGCCAAGGCAGCCAATGGCATCCTGGCTTGTATCAGGAACAGTGTGGCCAGCAGGACCAGGGAAGTGATTCTTCCCCTGTACTCAGCACTAGAACAGGTTGCCCAGAGAAGCTGTGCATGCCCCATCCCTGGAAGTGTTCAAGGCCAGGTTGGATGGGGCTTTGAGCAACCTGGTCTAGTGGAAGGTGTCCCTGCCCATAGCAGGGTGTTAGGACTTGATCATCTTTAAAGGTCCCTTCCAACCCAAACCATTTGATGATGATGATGTCCCAGGTGCTCTCCAAGCCAAAGGCAAGAGTTCCTTGCTCTGGAGAAAGCTGGAGAGCAGACTGTTTGTTACTTGGACAGCTGAAACCAAGCCCTTTTGAGTGAGGGGAAGCCCCACTGAAGGGGCTGAGATTTTTATAGAGGATTTACAGTTCGTGGTTGTTTAAGTAGCCAAAAATGCACTGAGATGCTGAAGAGACTGAGGAGGAGAGAGCATATGACCAGCTAAACTCAGTGGTCATTACTGGAGGTATCAAGGCAGTACGTGCTTGGGCAGCTATTGTGTTCACTAGAGCTTTTTACATTCACATCTAACCAAATTGTCAAGACCTGCTTTTAGAGCAGCTTGGAGTATGACAATCCTTGCTCTGTGGTTCTTCCTGTACATCCAGCCTGAGTGTGCCA